CCCGAGGCGGCTCCGGAGGCAGCCTGCACAGCTTAGAGAAATCAAACCCGCTGGTTAAACCCAGTCACCTGATGGGGGCGAGAGGATGGAGGCCAAGGGAGACACAGACAGACAGACCGAGGGAAAGACAGAGATGCTCAGAGACTCAGGGACAGCCAGAGACATGGAGAGACAACCAGAGACAGGGGTGTTCAGAGATAGAGGCAGACAGATAGCATGACGAAGCCCCCAGTGAGAGACAGAGAGACTGATGTCCAAAGGGAGAGACAGGGAGACCAAGGAGCAGCTGAAATAGGTCAGCACTGCGCGAGGGCACGCCCCGCACGCACAGCACACGCACACACACGCTGACAGGTGCACAGGCAGATAGATGGGGAGCAGGGAAACCTGGGGTCCTTTCTAAGCCCCAGCCCCCAAGGCCTGCTCAGTTGCCCCCATGGGACTCAGGGGCGGAGGTGACTCCTCTGGGTCCCTGTGGGGTCCTGCAGGGCCCTGCAACGTGTGTGTGTGTGTGTGTGTGTCTCCCTGGCTGCTACCACGCTGGCCCACGTGTCCTTGACGGGCTGGTCTGCATGCTTTGGGTCACGGTGTGGCTGTGTGAGGTTCTGTGTCTCCACTTCTGAGCGGAACTGTGGAGCGTAGTCCTGTGTGTATGTGTGCAGGCCTGGGCTGCTGTGTCATCAGTGTTGGTGTGTGGTGTGTCTGGGCTCTGTTGTGTCTCTTTCTCTGTGGGACTGAATTGCTTTCTTCTTGTCTCATATGTTCTGGGTGCAATTTAACTTGGTATCTGTTTCTGATCTAGCTATGCTGGTGTGTGTGTGTGTGTGTGTGTGTGTGTGTGTGTGTGTGATTGAGTGTGGGTATAGGGGTACCTGTGATTGCTTTGACCAGTGCTGTCTGTATGTCTGGTGTGTACTGTGTGTGTCTGCATAATGTGTGTGTCTGGTGTTGGTTGTGTGCACCCCGGGTCAGTGTGTGGGCCCATGTGTCTTGGTGTGTGTGTGTGTGTGTGGTGTGGGATACGTGTGCTGTGTGCCTGGGCCTGTGTGTGGGCCCGTGTATATTGTGTGTGTGTGTGGTGTGTGGGCTGCGTGGGCCTGTGTGAGGAGAGAGAGGCAGGTACCCCTCTGTCTAGACCCTTTCCACATGGCAAGCGCGCGCGCACACGTGCACACACACAGACACACACACACACACACACACACACACACGCACGCACACTCTCTCCGTTCCGTGCCATGGCTGCGGGCGGTGGAGATGGGGGGGTGGAGGGGGTGTGTGTGGAGGAAGCAAAACAAAATTAAAAATTAAAGCTTGCCCGGAGTGAGTCCCCTCCGCACGGCGCACGCCGGCCGGCCGGCGGGGCGGGGCGGGTGCGCAGCAGCTCCCCTGCGCAGCGCGGGGCAGGGCGCGTGTCCGTCTGTCCGGCCGGCCGTCCTGCCAGGCCCTGTCCGGCAGGGCCCCGCAGGCGCCCGCTCCCTGCGTCGGTCGATGGGCCGGATCAATGGGGCCAGGGGGGAGCCAGGGGCAGGACGAGATCAAAGGGGCCCCGAGAGACGGACCCCGAGACGGGAAGAGACGTGGAACCGAGACGGGGAGACAGGGGTGCGGGGTGAGCCGGGCACGCTGGGGCGCAGCAGCGCGGTCCCGGGAAGGGGAGGCC